TAAAAAAAAAAAAAAAAAATAGCCAATTGCAGCCATTTTTCCATGTTGTGAAAATAAAATGACCAGGCGAGCGGAAGACATATCAGAGATATAAATTATAAAATAAGCACTATGCAAGAAGGAAGAAAGCATACTTGTTTTCTTAAAACCAAAGTCATGGGGGATCACAGTGTAAAATTCCCTGAGATTTAGATAGCACGCATTAGCACATAACTAAAACAAGCTTCAAAGTTATAACTAGTATCACACCAGTTATGTGTAAGTTTCATACTGGCAAAAGTTTTACCCGCTTAATTGCTCTAGCGTCTTCCTATCAGCTTTGGCAATCACATCAGCAATTCTTTTCAAGACATCATAACCCTGTACAGATTACACGAATGCAATTAGAATATGTTACTTTAAAGTGTTGGCTCAGAGATCACAAAAATTTTTTAATTTCCTTTTCCGCGAGATAACTTTCTGATGTATGATTAGAGAAAGATAGAAAAGACAAGAAGTCCAGCTAAATGGAATTGGTAGCATTGACAGAGTAAGAGAACATAAATTAGATATTGAGGTAACAAATCGATATGGGGGCCCTGGTGGATGCAAAGAGCCTTGCCATGCCAAACAAAAAACTCAAAATAGAAAAGAATTTTTTTTTTTGAAAAAAGCGACATTTACATGCATCAGCTCACTTGTCTAGTAACTGTAAGAAGACATAAGTTTCAAGACAACTATTCAAGCTATACAAATCAGGATAAAAAAAATCTCTCACCTTTAAAATAGTCGATTTGCTCAATTTACCAAGAGGTAATTTTTCAGCATTGTATCCTGTTACCAAATAAAAATTAATAACAAATCAATATAAAAAGGTGGAAATTGGTAGATAAAGCTAAAGATGAATAGAGATGTTGCACTTTCCACAATGAAAGCAATAATTGATACAATGGATACAAACCAATTTCCATCATCTGTTGTGTCATCATGCTCATGTTGCAAATGAGAGAGATGAAATCTGCAGTCCGTGCTTCCAGCTTTGTCTCTTTAGGTTCCAGTCTTGTTGTAGATTCTGGCTTTGATTTAACCTTAAAACGGTCATGGATAAATCAGCTCCCAAGAGTTCGGGAGACAACGTGTGAACCAGATAATTACCACTCTTTATTCTCATACTCGAGTATATTATCAAATCCATACATGTAATGGTTTTCCACAGACACAAAAACTAAAAGACCCTGAACCAGACATGTAAGAATTTTTCCAAAAAGATGTAGATAAAATAACTTACAGCTCGATCATTTTGGGTTTCACTATAGTCCATTTCTAACCAAGTATAGCAACGTGGATGACTAACAAACTCTTTCCTATCGGTCCAACGATTCTTGGTCTTGTCAAAGAACTTTTTCTCAAACTCAGAGATCGCAGCTTGCTGTGAGGTATAAGGGCCAACTAATTTATCTTGACCCTTCACACCTACTCTTCCCCATCTAAAATAGACCATGAATTTGCCGCCATCATCAGATTCTGCAATTAAGAGTTCTGAACCACATTAACAAAAAAGTACGAAATATTGTCTTATATTTAACAGTCCCGATGACACCTTGTCAAGATGGCATAGTTTGCCTGCACTATTTCAAGTAATTAAGTACAATACTGTATGCACTCAATCAAAACATAATGGAGACGGAGGTATAACCTAGAGCTTGAATGACAAAAAATTTGTTATTATTCGCCCCAACATTTGTTTGATTCAACATGGCATCATAAATGTCATCGCCCTGCAGTAGAAATTAACAAGTCAAAACCAAGATAACACACAAATATTTATCAACTTCTTGGTCTGCTTAAGTACACATTAAGATGACTTACTACTTGCAAGACATGGTACTGAGTCTTAATATGGTCTGGCAGACATTTATCCAAGACAGCTGAACCTTTCTTGGTGGCTGTGACTAATTTCTCTTTCTTTTCCTCTTTCAAAGTGAAGTATATTTCAGAAACATTATAAGAAAACAAAACTGATAAATACAATCACATGATACATAAATTTCAGTGATAAACATCCATAAATGTGTTCTCTATTCTATAATAAACTGCTAATGTGCACACACTAAGTAATTTATAACACCACAAAGACTAGAAACACATGTATCATCTTGCTTTATTGGCACCAAATTTGGGAAAATCCAAGAGTGAATGTTCTGTATTAGCAACATGGAGAGTGGATGCACAGATGATTTGATATATAAAAATAGACAACTGGATACCAGGATCATTGTCATTTGAGACATCGTCATTATCAGCACACAATCTCTCCAGCAGCTCCTTCTTCGTGCCAACGGCAGAACGTCCTCGTGCGCTAGCTTCTTCTCGAAGCTGCTTTATACTCATTCCTCGCATGTCATCAATGGTCTTCACTTTCTGCAGAGCATGGGAGCTGGCATTCCCGTCTTTGCTATCATCTATCACCACCAAATGTCCCACAATAGTGGAATTAGGTATGACTGTACAAAATGTACAAAATGACAGTTTAATACAATATCGAGAAGAGTATGCACCACAGCACACTCCTGATGATACATAGAAAATCCCATATCAGAGAAATACCCAACCAGCAGAGTATAACTGACTAACCATCATAAAAGTCACTAATTCATGCCTGCATATCACTGGTAACATTCTCATATTATGTCCTACTAATGACAAAATATCATATCCAACAGTTGTATTAGACCAACAATAAGTCGCTAACCCGTTTCCTGACCACATACACCGAAGGTTCGAGCGAGAGACAAAGTTAGTTACCTTCGCCATTGTTGCTTAAATCGTTGGCACCTCCAGCACAGAGCCTCTCCAGAAGCTCCTTCTTACTTCCAGCAGCAGAAACTCCTCT